TATTTTTAATGTTATTGTAAACTGCGGGATAGGTAAGCGGATCGATAGGCATCAAGAGACCGATCCTAACATACCACTTTCGTTTATCTTTTATTTAAAAAAAGGAGGAGGTACTCAATTCGACTGTTTTTACTCATAAAGTGTGTACATTTGAACTTTTTTCTAGGTGAACCGCTAATCTATATGATGCAGATGATGATGATTTTTATTATTTGAAAGTTGATGCTTCTCATGTGATATCATATAAATTTGATCAAGTTCTGACCAGTAGTTTTAGAGTTATCTTTAATAACGCGTAGTTAATTGACTTCGACTTCATTAATGATGTTTTCGTTTTATTTATATTGAAGTCGGTTGTACAAAATGTTTAATTTTAGTTTACCACTTGTTTAGTTAGCAGTTATTGTAGGCGTACAATTTCATTCGTGGTACTAATGGTTACGCGGGCGTCCCTCAGGATTGTTTAGGGCAGTAGTGGTTTACGGGAAGGTTCGTTACGATCATGTAATTATATCTTAGGGTTGCATTCCCGAGAGGTAATCGATGGATAGAGAACTATGACCATTTGTACGGACTTGGTATGTAAATGGTTTAATGTAGATCGTTTTATTTTCAAAATTATTTTTTTTTAAATTGAAAATAAGTTCTTCAGTTACCATCGTCTTATTTGGGCTATTTTAGTCTTTATTGTGGTCAAACCGTGAACTCAGTTAATATGATCATATAATCAAAATTTAATGGTGGTAGAGCCACACGGCAGTTTTTGCTGCCCCCCATCAACATGGTAGAGGAATTACATCATAGACTACCCCAGGAGGGTACCAGCACGCCTAGAGAATCCCTTGCTGAGCATCCACGACCATGCTATTCCACCCCTGAGCGTGGGTGGCTCAGGCTGCCCCGCGTATTCTGGGGGGGGGGGGGGGGCAAAATTCCTCTCAACACAATAACTGCTCGGGGCAAACTGAGCAACAAGACCAAGGCGACCCCTGTCACGCTATCCGTGAATTTCTGCAACATCAGGGGACTTCACTCGAACCTAAACGCCGTCCACTACCATCTCGAGACGGCGAAGCCGACCTTGCTCTTTCTGACTGAGAGGCAGGTGTCCTCTCCGGCTGATACTTCGTATCTCTCCTACCCGGGGTACAAATTGGAGCACTCGTTTGTGCCTCAGGCTGGAGTTTGCGTATACGTCAGAGAGGACATCTGTTCTCGACGCCTCGGCAGTCTTGAAGGTTCGGACCTGTCCACCCTTTGGCTACGCGTAGACAGCGACGACCATTCGCGCACCTACGGGTGCCTCTATAGGTCCCATAGCGGAAATGCCGAAACAGACCGACTCATCGACCACGTCCAAATGGCTACAGATTCCTTGCTACAACAGGTCCCATCCGCAGAGATCGTGATCCTTGGCGATTTTAACGCCCACCACGCCGAATGGCTCGGTTCACGTTTAACCAATCCTGCGGGGAGATCTGTTTAAGACTTTGCCTTGGCATATGGTCTGACACAACTGGTTACATCGCCTACGCGGATTCCAGATGTTGAGGATCATACACCTTCCCTGTTGGACCTTCTGCTGACCTCTCATCCGGACGGATATCAGGTTTCCGTCGATGCCCCTCTTGGCTCTTCGGACCATTGTCTGATCCGGAGTGTGGTGCCACTCAAGCTCCCCTCGCGGTTGCGTTCTGCAGATTGCCGACGTGTTTGGCATTACAGGTCGGCGGATTTGGACGGAATGCGGTCTTTCTTTGCTTCCTACCCATGGGGGCGGGTTTGCTTCTCGCCTGATGATCCCAGCGCTGTTGCTGACTCTGTCACTGATGTGGTGCTACAGGGAATGGAACTATTTATTCCATCATCTGTGGTACCCATCGGAGGCAGATCTCAGCCTTGGTTTGGTCGCTCCTGTAAGACTGCATTACGCAGTAAGCAGGAGTGTTATCAAGCCTGGGCTGCGGCTTCGGCGACTCGGGATGTCAACACCAGCATACTTAAAAAGAAGTATAACTTCGCCTCCAGGTCCTTCAAAAGAGTTATTGCCAAGGCAAAGTCAGAGCACCTAGGCAGAATTGGCGAGAAACTAGTGCGCCTTCCTTTGGGAACCCGTGCATTCTGGTCTCTCGCCAAGGCTGTCCAAGGGAATTTCTGTAAGCCATCACTACCATCTCTGCACAGGGACGACGACTCACTGGCCCACGACGCAAAAGAGAAAACTGACCTTTTAGGCACCCTTTTTGCGTCCAACTCGACTGTTGATGACGGGGGGAACACATCGCCGACAATCCCGCGGTGTGAGTGCTCCATGCCGGATGTGCGTATCTCACAGCGCTCGGTTCGTAGAGCACTCCTCTCCTTGGACATCCACAAGTTGAGTGGGCCTGACGGAAACGTCCCAATTGTGATGAGGACGTGTGCTCCGGAGTTGGCACCGGTTCTAACCCATATTTTCCGGTACTCCTACTCCCTAGGCGTAGTCCCGAAATCATGGAAGACAGCTTTTGTCTACCCGATCCCTAAAAAAGGCGACCGCTCAGACCCGTCCAACTACAGGCCTATCGCCATCACACCCTTGTTCTCCAAAATAATGGAATCCGTTATAAACTGCCACCTCATGCGGTACCTTGAGGATCACCAGCTGATTAGTGACCGCCAATACGGTTTTCGTCGGGATCGATCAGCTGGTGATCTTCTGGTCTACTTAACTCATAGATGGGCGGAGGCAGTAGAGTCCAAGTGGGAGGCATTGGCCGTTAGTTCGGACATTGCGAAGGCCTTCAATCGGGTTTGGCACAAAGCGCTTCTTTCCAAGTTCCCTTCCTATGTGCTTCCCGAGAAATTATGCAATTGGATCACAGGCTTTCTTGCAGATCGGAGCATTAAGGTCATTATAGACAGTGCATGCTCCGACTACAAGCCTATTAACGCTGGTGTTCCACAAGGCTGCGTGCTATCACCAACGCTGTTTCTTCTGCATATCAATGATATGTTGCAAACCGGTAGCATTCATTGCTATGCGGATGACAGCACTGGTGATGCTCTATACACCGGCCGTGCCAATATTTCTCGGGAAAACGTCGCCGAGTACCGGAACAAACTTGTGTCTGAAGTCGAGTCTTTGCTGGACAAAGTCTCGGATTGGGGGCGACTAAATCTAGTCCAGTTTAATCCTCAGAAGACACAAGTTTGCGCGTTTATCGCTAAAAAGAACCCCTTTGTCGTATCTCCTCGGTTTAAAGGTACTCCCCTTGTTGCCTTAGCCAGTATCGGAATCCTCGGCGTCGACATATCCGAGTGAGGTGCAGTTTCGTGGTCATTTGGAAGAGAAGGCCAAATTGGCCTCTAAAAAGCATGGCGTGCTCAGCAGAGCGGGACAGTATTTCATGCCGGCACACCGCCTTCAACTTTACAAGGCGCAGGTTCGGCCTCACATGGAATACTGTTCCCATCTCTGGGCGGGACTCCCCAGTGCCAGCTCCTTCCACTTGATCGCATCCAGCGCAGAGCGGCTCGAATCGTCGACGACCGAGTCCTTTCCGATCGGCTCGACTCATTGGCGCTGCGAAGATATGTTGCATCTCTTTGCATTTTCTTTCGCATTTACCACGGGGAGTGATCTGAGGAATTGTTCGGATTAATCCCAGCCGCCAAATTTCACGAAAGCACATCGCGGCAGAACTCCCGATACCATCCACACCATCTGGATGATTGGCGGTCCACCACAAAATAGTTTACCACCAGCGATTTTTCCGGACCGATACGACTTAGGGACCTTCAAGAAAAGAGCCTACTCCTTTTTAAAAGGCCGGCAACGCATCTGCAATTCCCTGGTGTTGCGGTTGTTCATGGGCGGCGGTAGTCACTTACCATCAGGTGAGCCGCATACTTGTTTGCCCCCTCTCCTATAAAAAAGGTCAAGAAGGTCCCGTTTACCCTACTTCTACATTGTGCGTGGTCCGACATGTACTTGGTCAGTTTTATCACAAAATAACTGGAGACTTAGGTATATCAACACCGCACCGCTTGTTACGTTGTTTTCACAGATAGATCAACACGTGCCACCGGCGGACCGGAGAGGAGTAGCGTTTATAGCGTTTTTCCCCGCTACAGAACTATCTGTCAATTTTTTGTGGTGGGAAATCAGCCCACACTAAGGCCCGTATTAGTAAACGTTACTCAGCTCAAGTACACACACTTGAGTACAATCTTGAGGTTATGATCTTATTAATAAACATATCTCAAGATGCGGTTTAGGTTTGCGATATCAGCTGAGTGCCACACTGATTAATAAACGAAACTTGATTCTCAAGTGTGTGTACTTGAGTGCAAGTCACAGAACAGTATTGCTAAGTACAGCGTTATGAGATACTGTTTTTATGTGTTTATTAATTAGCAACGATCTTGAGATGCTGATATCGTAATGAGGGCGTATCAAATAATTACGCACTTGAGTTCGTCGTTGAGTAACGTTTATTATTACGAGATTAATACGGGCCTTAAACAATCCTTTGTCACTACGAAACACACATAACCGTTAAAATAATAAACTAACAATTTCACATTTAGCATTATTTTTGGAGTTTTCAACAATGGAGAATAAACGAAAAAAAAGCCGACCAAGTACGAGTCGGACTCGCGCATAAAGGGTTCCGTACCATCGTAAAACACGTTTCTAGTAGGGAAGCCCCCTTTGTTTTTAATTTATTTTTATTATTTTTTGTTATAGCGGCAACAGAAATACACATTCTGTGAAAATTTTAACTGTCTACCTATTTCGGATCGTGATACAGCCCGCAGACAGACAGACGCACGGACGGACAGACAGCGGAGGCTTAGTAATTAGGTCCCGTTGGCTACCCTCCGGGTACAGAACCTTAAAAATCATTTTCCTTAAATCATTAGAAACTTACTAATTTTAATTAAAGCTGTATCTGTTTTATTTTAGGCTTTTTATTCAAATAATCTTACTATTATAAGCAATATAATTAACAAAAATGATTATCAAAAACAATGTGGTGCACGGTGGGCCGACGTTGAGTATTCCTGCACATCTTTCGTATGGGAAATTTGTTATTGACAAGCTGATAGAACATAACGCTGATGAAAATAAAATTGCTTTGGTAAGTATGCTCAATATTGTCTATTATAATTTTATTTTCATCGTGCACTAAGCACACGTATCACCTTAGGTAAATGCTAGAATAACTGCTCTGACTTTCTCTAAAAATAACTTGGTTGTAGTATTACCTGAATTCGTCAATCGCAAGATTTATTAATTATACTGATAAATATCGAGACCGCGAATTCTTATCGATTCCAGCATTTCTTTAAACTTGACAGAACCCAATGCTTATCTTTCGTATTGCGTATAAAATACCGGCGTCTGCCTTTCTTTCCCTGGGTGTCGTCAAGGCAAGAGTGAATAAGTTACATGTATAGATATAACCATGCTGCAGCTATATTTAATACTATAGTTATAGCACGATTGGGTCACTCTCACAGAATGCCAGCGTAAAATAGCAGCTTAACACTGTTGTGTTTCGTATGGCGAGTGTAAAACCGGAGACCCTTTTTACTGGAAAAGAGGCATTCCATCTTAGTCCTCACGGGTGACAACGCATCTGTATTTTGATTCGTACTCGTAATCGAAGATAGATGTAGATATCTATGGGCCACAGCAACCATTTACCATCAGGTGGACTGTGTGCTCGTTTGTCACCCTTATCCTATAAAAAACCATACAATTTACAAGTATTATTTTATTTAAATTTAATTTCATCATTTTTATGTTGATTTTTCTAAAGTAAAATTATATATACGTTTGAATACTGAGATGGAATCTTAGTTCTCACGGGTGACAACGCATCTGCATTTTGATTATTTATTGAGGATAGATGTAGATGTCTATGGGTCACAGCAACCACTTACCATAAGGTGGACTGTGTGCTCGTTTGTCATCTTATCCTATATAAAAAAAAGCTTTTGTTGACTGCACAAAGATAGTGCTATCAAGGCTTCATCACCACTTACTACCAGGTGAGATTGCAGTCAAGCACTATAGCTTGTAATATGTATAAAAAAAAGCTGTAGTATAAGTTCCACTGTTAGGCACAGTCTTCTCATTATTGAGACGCCGGAAACGACCGCCGAGCTGGCTTGATGAGATTCATATGCTCTTAAAATAAATTTTACTGGACATTCAGGATCCTTCACGATGTTTTTATTAATTGCCGATCCCCTACTGCTATATAAGAATTTATGTCATTATGCAATTACACGTATTATAGTGTAGATTATAACATATAGTGTACTTGACTGTACAGTAGATATCCTTTTTTAAAGGTTCACGGGGATGTTGGTGAAAAAACAACGTATAGGGAAATTCTTAAATATGTGGTACATACTGCGAGTGGATTAAAGAAACTCGGCGTGAAGCGTGGTGATATAGTAGCGCTCTGCAGTGAGAACAGACTGGAGTTTATAGTGACTGCTTTGGCAGCTATCTGTTGTGGTGCTACGATCACAACGCTCAGCACACAGTATACAAAAGGTAAGTAACGAAACTGTACAGAATCTTATCAATAAGCTTATTGTTTGTGGGGACTTCATTAGTCCTTAAAACTACATTTTCTTTATTTCCGCAGCAATTTGAAATTCATATACATACCATATGTATATGAATTTCAAATCTATACAAATAAATAAAATTGAAGTGTTTCATTATAATGTCAAAATAACAGCTTTTTACTAAAAGCATATGAAAGTATATATGACGGTACTTATAACAAAAACACAATTTTTAAATTTTTGTCTGTCTGTTTGTTCCGGCTAACTCCGAAACGGCTGGACCGATTTTGATGGGACTTTCATTAGCAGATAGCTGATGTCATAAGGAGTAACTTAGGCTACTTTTATTTTAGAAAAGGATTTAGGGGTTCCATGCAAAAAAATTAAAACCAAATTAAACGCGGGCAAAGTCGCGGGGTACAGCTAGTTGCAACTAAAAATTAAACTGCGAGATTTGACCTCAGCCGAGATTTAGATAGTTAAAATGGTGACCAAAACCTATTAATTTTCTTTGTGCGGTAATATTTTTAGGTGTTAGGGGCACGATGCAGCTGTATTGTGTCTGCACCCTGCAGCAAGAGTGGGTCGGCTCGAACGAAAAAGAATCATGCTCGCAATGAAGAATTATAAGAATAATTTAGGTGGGGAGGGGAGGGTTGGAAAGTGAATTGTGTTACCTTGCACTTGATCGATTTTTACTGAATTTTTAGATGAAAACAAACATGTCTTAACTATATCAAAGCCAAGTCTATTAATAGCATCAGAAGAGGTGTTAAAACAAAACTTTTCCATATACAAAGAAGTAACCTATATAAAGAAATTTATTCAAATGAATGGAAAACCCATAGACAATGGAATAATCGCATATAAAAATGTTTGTGCTCAAGTAGATGCTTTTGATTTTGAACCGGAAGAAGTGCAGGGCGCCACCGACACATTATTTTTGTTGTATTCTTCTGGCACAACTGGTCTTCCGAAAGGAGTTATGTTGACACACGTCAACGCGTTGTATGCTGCAGCTAATTCACTGTGAGTAAATATTTACGGTTTTAGAGGTAGCACATTATAAAACAAATACACTACATAATTCGCTATTACTATCACTATTTACTAACCTCTCTCATAGATCTCTTCCTTGTGGAATAGTTTACCACCAGCGATTTTTCCGGACCGATACGACTTAGGGACCTTCAAGAAAAGAGCCTACTCCTTTTTAAAAGGCCGGCAACGCACCTGCAATTCCCCTGGTGTTGCGGTTGTTCATGGGCGGCGGTAGTCACTTACCATCAGGTGAGCCGCATGCTCGTTTGCCCCCTCTCCTATAAAAAAAAAAAAAATAGATTGCCACAATCCATTGACTAATATTTCAAAATGTGATGATGGGCATAAAGAACCGTGATTGTTGTAAGAATATGGTCTGTGTGGTGGTGTGGTAGCAAATTCTTCAATTAGGCGTGCATTACTAACATAGTTAGTGCATTTTTTTAAATGTATTTTTTTCAGCAGTTACTTAAAATGACTGGTGATAAAACTTTTTCTTACTAATCCGTTTTTTTTAATATATTGTTAGGAATGATGGTAAAAAAATAAAAGGAAACACGCCCAAGTGAGTGTAGAACTGTAATCTCCCACCCGTTCTAGCAGTATAAATTAGCAGGCGACTAAGAGGCATCAGTCGGTAATTCTACGAGTCTTACTGTCGTTACTTTGCCCCTTGGGGTATTCTACTAGTGTCGGCAAGGAGGATCTTGTTGCTGAGAACCTGCCCTGCCCTGTGTTACATTGAGATGGGTGGTGTTGCTGTTCGTTTGCATACTCTGGAGTTCACATTACACCGGTATGTGTTTGTGACAGGAACACGTTACGCTTGGTCAAACTGTATTGCTCTTTACTCAATGTGCAGTGCGCTGTATTGTAGCTGACAATGATTGGTTGTGTAACCTTTGTTATTTTTAACAATTCACCTCCAGAATGGTTTCTGATAGTAAGGAGGGTTTGTTACCGAGTAGTGTTTATTTAAATAATTTTGAGAATAATTTCTAACATCAGATGTGGAACAATTTCTTACACTACACTGTTTGCTTTTCTTTTACCTATTCCATTTTACAATGAAACATCATTGAGAATGAGAGAAAATAATGATTGAGGAAGGTCGTATTATACAGGGGCCGTGTAGGTGTAGGCGGTAATTCTCATTTCAGGTATAAACTCTTCGTAGTTATAATCATGATAGAAATATAAGTATCAATTTAAAAACTTACACATTTTAAAGATAAAATACTTAATTATTTTTCTACTTAACATCTACTTTCAATAAATTATGATATACAATAGGTACTTCATTTAATGAGTTTTTAATTACACGAAGTAGGTAGTATTATTAAATGAATATATTAAAAATATAATATACAATGTTATTAAATACAATGTATTATCATCATCATTACAGCCCTTCACAAGTCCACTGCTGAACATAGGCCTCCCCCAAGGAATGCTACAAAGCACGGTCCTGAGCCACCTACATCCATCAACTTCTTGCATATCTTACGAGGTCGTCACTCCATTTAGTAGGGTAGGGGTCGCCCTGCACTTCGCCTACCGGTGCGAGGCTGCAATTCGAGAACCTTTTTTCCCCATGGGTTGTCGGTTCCTTGAGCTATATTAAATACAATGTATTAATTGATAAGAAATACAAATTCTTAAAAATTCATGGTAGTATTCACAGATATTCCACGGTTGCCCTTGCATTACAGTACCCAGGACTGAGCACTGAGCGCTCACCGCCCTCTATTGCAAAACCGTTTGCCCATGAAAAAATGTTTCAAATAAAATTTTCCGCAAATTTTATAATCTACAATTTTTATAATAAATATTATCATCATTGGAGCAATAGAAACAGTTTTTTTTTTACTTTTGACCTTGAATAACTTACGACGCTAACACGAGATTTTATGAGACTTGAACTTTTAGAACGCCAAAATGAAGGTATGTACTAAAATTCAGCTTATTATCTCTCATGGTTGGCGGGTGCAGGGTTATCAGCGCTTGCCTTCAGCACAACATCCATTGCTGTTGACGAAGAAGTCGATTCAGAAGCACCGGAGTCCGAGTGACTAGCATTGGTCGTTTGATAGTTGCGAGAGATCCCCGCCCGGATATTCATCTGGCTCCGTAAGCCGGGAACTAGGAACATATTATTTTTATTTTTACTCATATTTGTTTTTGTTTTGGACAAAATTAACCCACCACGTTTATCAAATAGTAATGATTCGCAGTAGACTTCCTGACTGATCCTATGGGCGCTGCCGTTGGTATACGAGATACTCCTCTGCTGCCACCCTAAAACTGACATCTCACGCTAATGCCAATTGCACTACCTAAGCCTCGATAAGGCAATCGTGCCTGAGAGCCACCCACACCTAGCCTCTTATATGGGTATACCGCCATCGGTCGGTTCGCCATGGCCTCGTTAGTTGTAGCCTCGTCAGCAGGGTGCACCACGTGCAGGTGAGGTTGGCTAGGAGCGTGGCAAAGGTAAGAGGCAATCTATGTGGAAGGCAATGGTAACGGATGTAACATTTTTTTTCATAGAATAATGGTGGCCACTCACGGTCAGTTAAACTGATCAGTTTAACTGACGTGCATCCAAAAACTGACCGTGAATGTGAAATCTTAAGTTAAAATGTTTTCCGGGCGCACCGTAATCCGCTGGCTTCAGTTCGTTTCCATTATTGGTAAGTACATACTTTCTTAGTAGCTTTTATATATATTTTATAATTTTTTATAACATTATTTGTATGCTGTTTAGATTTTATATTATTTTATATATTTTTTTTACTAAAAAAAAAACGTTACCCCCACACTAGGATTTTCTCCTGTATCGTGGAGGCAGTTTACAAACACAAATTGCACAAAGACAAACATCTAGACCCGCAACAATTATTTGTAGGCCATACAAATACTTGTTCCGTGCGGAATTCGAACCCGCGCCCCCAGCGCAGCAATTCATTGCTAAGCCACTGCGCCACGAAGCCGTCATATATATTTAGAGAAGTTGGTTTGACAGAGGATGGAGACCAATGTGATTGTAATGATGTCACCTTCCTTATGGTGGACTCAGAAGGTGGGTAAAGGATCTCAGTGATGTTACTACGTAGAACCATCGTGTTTGGACTCATTTTCAAATAGGTAAATGGATACCTAGATGACTGTAATGATATCACCTTTATGTTGGTGCAATCAGAAGGTGGGTATAGGATCTCAGTAACGACACTAGATAGAAAGACCGCGTTTGAACTCATTTGAAAGGGCTCATAAAGACCTAGGTGGCTGTTATGACCTCACCTTTCTGATGGTGCAATCCGAAGGTGGATATAGGATCTCAGTGGCGGCACTAGATAGAACGATCGTGTTTGAGGTTTGAGCTCATTTGAAAGGGCTCATAAAGACCTAGGTGACTGTTATGACCTCACCTTTCTGATGGTGCAAACCTACAAGCACCATCAACATCAATTCCTATAAATGACCAAGTTGCCTGTACGCAGTATTTAACATTCAATGATTTTTTACTGATTTATTATACGAATACTACACATTTAATAAAACAAAGTTTACAGATTTTATTTTGTTTAACTTATTTTCATTCGTGACGTTTGGGTGCTTCAACTTTATTTTAGTAAGTAACACGTCGAGAGCTCAATTAGATAAACATAGAAAGCTAGGCCATCCTAATTATTTCCGTTACTGAAAACCGATAAGCATTATCTGGTCATCATAAGACCTTCAGAATGTGCCCATGCCCACGGATTTTTTTGGACTCACCGTAAGCAAGTTAGTATCAGGGGGGTGTCGCCCGCTCTACAGATGGGTAATTTAATAAAAGGATAAAAATAAATAACACATTTATTAAATAAATAAAATTTACCATAATAAATAAAAATATCATAATATCTGACCCATTTCTTAAAAGTGTAAGTTAATACTGACCTTATCATGAATAAAAATATAAATAATAATGCATCTTTTGAAGTGTTACTATATAATATTAACACTTCAAAAGATACATTGTTAATATATATATATATATATATATATATATATATATATATATATATATATATATATATATATATATACATATATACGGAAAGAATTTCATTTCTCGATCGATGTAGCCGCAGCCGTACGCGTTTAGTCGGCGTGACTCCTATAAATTAAAAATATCATTTCCTATCTATTAACTAGCTGTTCCCCGCGACTTCCCCGCATGTAATTTATTACGATTGGATTTTATGGGTTTAAACTTTTTGCATGGAACCCTAATTCTTTTTCTAAATTAAAAAAAGTTAAAAAAATAGCCTAAGTTCCTCCATATATCAGTTATCTGCCACTGAAAGTCTCGTCAAAATCGGTTCAGCCGATTCGGAGATTAGCCGGAACAAACAGTCAGACAGAAAGAGAGATAGACAAAGATTTTAAAAATTGTGTTTTTGTTATAAGTACCGTATGTACTTTCATATGAATTTAGTAAAAAAAACTGTTATTTTGACATTACAAGTAGACACTTCACTTCAAACAAAATTTATTTGTATAGATATATATTAATAGACAGGAAATGATATTAAATAAGATTTAGATATTATTAAATATCATTTAATTTATCTATATATATGATATTTTATAGGAGTCACGCAAACGAAACGCCCATGGCCACGCCCCACGTTTGAACTAGGGCTGTTGATAAAATATCGATATATCGAAAAATCTATTTTATTATTTAGAAATATCGATATTTATTTTTAATATTTTTGGACCACATATATTGAAATATAAGTTTGATATTGAAATATAGATGTATGACAGTCAATATATTTTTTAAAATAATTAAATTTTTTATTTTTTCACGTAAATCATTTAATCTACAACACCATCGTAAACTTAAATCCTAATCCTTGATGGACCCAATCTACTATACTTTATTTACACTATATTAGTTTTTTTAATTTTTCCCCAGTTTATTTATTTGCTTATTATCTTAAAAAGAAATGTATATCTCTGTGATATTAAAATCACTATAATCTATGAAACTTGGTACTACTTTACTTACTGTGAGTTTTGGCAGGAGCTTGACCATCGACGGATGGTTGCTCCTGTTTTATCGTTTAAATAATCGTTTGAAGTGGATTTTTATCAAAGTGATGCGATTATGTGTATTAAGTGTCTGCGCATGTGAGCTATTAGAGAAAACGACGAATTAAGTGCTTCGATGTTGGTATAAGCCTCAAGTTATTTTAATCGCTTAGGCGTTTTATGATTTACTTCCATGCTATCAGAAATAGCTGTTAAATATTTGATTTCTTCAGCTGCATCCGTAGCATCTGAACGAATTACTTCTACAAACAAGTTGGTTTCCTCATGATGTTGTCCTTCATCGCCGAGCACGTGGTAAATTAGCACTTAAAATTGCCATTAACAATTTCATTGGTGCCGGCGGGGATCGAACCCGGGTTGCTCGCGTACTGTGAAATTTACATCGCGCGCTAACCATCTGAGCTACCACGGCTCATTAATAATTACTAAGAACTATAAGCTAACATTTTTATACATTCATAATTTAATTTGTTTAATAAATATACTAAATTATAAACTGTGTAAATCATTTTTCAGCAATAAGCATCGATATATCGCTTATGTTTTCGATATATAAAACTCCGATATTGATAGGTATATTTATAATTATCGATATATTGAAAATCCGACATTTAAAATTAAAATATCTACAGTCCTAGTTTGAACTGATCAGTTGGAAGGATCAGTTGAACTGACCGTGTGTGTGGAAATTGTTTTGGATTAAATTTTTTTTATATGATAGGGTGACAAACGAGCACACAGTCCACCTGATGGTAAGTGGTTGCTGCGACCCATAGACATCTACATCTATCCTCAATAAAGAATCAAAATGCAGATGCGTTGTTACCCGTGAGGACTAAGATAGAATGCCCCTTTTCCAGTAAAAAGGGTCTCCGGTTCTCTACACTTACCATAAGGAACACAGCAGTGTTAAGCTGCTATTTTACGCTGGTATTCTGTGAGAGCGTGGTCCTTCCCTGGTCAAGCCGACCCATTCGTGCTGCAATCATAATGTAGCTGCGTCCGATATGTATCCAAATCGCAAGCTGTGATTGTATCCATTCCATGTACTTACATAGTGTTAAAATAAAATACTGAATAAAGACCTCGCATATTTGCAACATATATAGGTCCCAAAAAATATCTAATACAAAATAAAACTTACAATTAATCGAGTTTTAGTAAAATACAACCGGAAAAATATTCTAGTTTCAAACTGAATAATATTTTACCCATCAACATGCAAACAATAAATTACTAACATCCCTAAATTTAACTGTCATGGGAGCGGGGGAGGGATTTTTCTGCACCAATTCACAGAATTCCTTTACTTTCAGAATAATTTCTCGGGCATCATTTTGTACAACTTTACGCGTCTTAACCTCTCTGAATTCATGAAAAAAACATACAAATCCACACAACAATCGCAACGTACACTCCTGACTTTCTACAAGATGGCAGAGATATCATTAATAATAAATTAGTTCCAGTTTTCGTCGTAGAACTGAAGGAGAGATGGGGCGGACTTCTTTCTCGGAGATTTTTTAAATATTTCAAAAATCACTTTTAAGAGTGTTAATCATAATATCATTAGGCAATAAAAACTAAAAACCAAGATTTTGATGTTTTTTTTATTACAGACGGGAATCGCTTGCTCCGGAAAGTCAGTCTCGGTCATGTCATTTGACAGTCGTACCGTGGTACCACGCCTATGGTCTGATGACGACCATAAACAATTTTATAATTGGCAGGATGACTGTATATTTTCCAGGATTTTATCCAGAAAAGTATCTCAAAGCGATAGAGAAGTATAAGGTAAATTTTCGTCTATTTGTTTAATTATTGTAGAAAATAATGTTAATGTTGATTTTTCTGTTTGCTTACTACTAAGGGCACACTTTTTTGTCTAAGCTGGAGGGATATGCTATAGTACAAAAAGAGTTTGTGAAAATTGAATATGAATGATATATTAATCACGATAGCAGAGACTTATTATAATAAAAATATGTACCAAATGATTTAAAAATCCATTTAATATGGCTCAACAGTTTCAGCGCTTATATTTTTGCCCAGGTAAATGTCCTGCTTACGGTCCCGCCTATGATCGTATTCCTGACGAAGTCTTCTCTAATCGAGAAATACGACATGTCCTCTGTCACGTTGGTGTGGTGCGGTGCAGCGCCGCTTTCTGCCGACACTATTAGGGACGTTATGAAACGGTAATTACACTATTATAAATTCATGAATATATTATGCACGGTGCTATAAAATCACTCATTTCAATAAACTATACAAATGAATATTAGAATAACAGCTTTTTACTAAATACATATGAATGTATGTAAGGTACTTATAACAAAACCACAATTTTTAAAAATTTTATCTGTCTGTCTGTCGGTCTGTCTGTCTCTCCGTCTGTTTGTTCCGGCTTATCTCCGAAACGGCTGGACCGACTTCGACGGGACTTTCACTGGTAGATAGCTGATGTTCTAAGGAGTAACTTAGGCTACTTATATTTGAGAAAAAGAATTAGGGTTCTGAGCAATATAATTAAAACCCTAAATTGCACGCGGGCGAAGTCGCGGGGAACAGCTAGTATTTTAATATGTTTTTTTTTTATTGGATAAGGGTGACAAACGAGCACACAGTCCACCTGATGGTAAGTGGTTGCTGCGGCCCATAGACATCTACATCTATCCTCTATTACAAATCAAAATGTAGATGCGTTGTCACCCGTGAGGACTAAGATGGAATGCCTCATTTCCAGTAAAAAGGGCCTCCGGCCACCTGCACTCACCAAGCGAAACGCAGAGGTAAACCTCTACTTCACGCTGGTTTTCTGTGAGGTCGTGGTACCACCCCGATTCGAGCCGGCCCATCCGTGCGACAGCAACAGCTGCCGCGTGGCTCTACCACTATAAGAATATGTCTACATAGTTTCCACACTTAGCGGGCGGGTTGGCAACCGCAGTTTTTTTAGGGTTTTTTGTTATCAGGAAGACGCTGCTGATATCATCTTTTAGTTTGTTTTCCACTGTCGCCTTTTACGACAAACACACGGGACCATATGTGGTAGTGGATATTCTTAAACCGTGACTGCACGGTTACAATTAAACAGATTTATTTCCTTTAAAAGTGCTCACTGATTTAACTGAATTTTATTTATCGATAAAGAACCTAATCGTTTAAATATATAAAAGAAGATGTCCTGCGTGACTGACTCATCTATCAACGCACAGCTGGAATTACCAGACGTAGAAATCTGAAATTTGTACATTAGCTGCCTTTTATGGCGTAGGTATCTACTAAAAAGGGATTTTGAAAAATTCAACACCCAAGAGCGTGAAAAAGAGTTTTACAGTTTATATGAAACCTATTATTTTACCGGGCTTTGAGTTACTGCAAGTACTCTTCAAATAAATAAAAAATCGTATTTGGCGATTTTTCAAAACAACCCAGGGGGACCAGTGGGTGTTTAAGTTTTTATGAAAAAAAAATGATTAATGATCTTTTTTAATTTATATACTGGGGCAAATACTCTTTATTAAGACGCCAAAACCATTTGGACGTAGAAGCGTGAAATAGTTCTGTTACGGCCTACGGCTGCTCCCACAAAGGTTCAATCCTCCGGGGCCCATCAGCGGAGTTTCAACGAACAGACGTAGGTCGGGCCTCAATATGGCCGCGTGGAAATTCCTAATTGCAATAAACAATAAGGGGGAACGGTCTATCCTACTGCCATTCAACAGGGAGAATATTAAAACCGAGCTTACTTACCTATATCCAAGGCGACTGGTCCCTCAGGGTTCGGTCAGGTCGCATGTGGTTGTATGGTGCATGGGAAGTAAGGTTCAGTGATGTGTAACTGTGTGTGACTGAGTGTGGTAGACCTTATGAGACCGTTGCCATCGGCAGCAGCTCGGACTTCAACACCGCTCCAAATTGTGGTAATCTTCCGCGGTGTCGTCCACAATCACTTTCTTCGTTCGTCACGAGGACAGTCCTTAACTTTATCGTACAATTATCTAACTTCCAGAAGCCACTAACTCTAATTTGTTATAAAGCGTAACACCTAACACAAATACAGAATGTCGGTCTATACGAAATCCCGTTACTATAAGCAAAAACGTAACACACCGCACGAACACGAATGTCCGGATCAAAGTTCACTACCGTTTCGCGTGGCAACAATTATTTCTAGAATATCAAATGCCGCAGTAGTAGCTAATATTGTTGAATACCCTTATACAGATTCTGAGTTAGACACAAGAAGTCCCGGGAAAAGCTCTCAAACAAGGAATGCGCGATACGAATGCTAGACAATATATTGATTAGACGCGCCTAAACTATTCCGCGTTCCCGCACAAAAAAAATGACAGCGTGCTGTCACAAGCACAGCTGGCAACCGACTTCTGCACTCGCGCGCCCTCGCCACACCGCTCGACCGAACGTCAAAACCGGTATGGCGCCGAGCCGAGCGCCCTCTGGCGTCAAATTCCGAAACTAGCGTTCGGGCGTGAATAAGTTCAATAAGTTCCTTTCATTGAATTGGACAAAAGGTTCATTTTATTACGAAGGCATGCGCTGAGAAAGAATTTTGGGAAATTCATCCCCTAAGAGGGTGAAATAGGGTGTTTTCATTTTAGGCGATAATTAACTCGATCGACTCTTTATTTTCTGATTAACTCGACGAACTTACTGAAATTACTTTGTAAATAAAATAACTGAAAACTTATTTTGCAATTTTTGAACACTACTACTCACGAAGAAGCAGAGGGTGTTCAATTGTGTTTGTATGGAGACACATGTATTACTGACAATTCTACCCTTAAGGGGATAAAATCAAGGATTTTCCTTTTGATTAGCTTTCGATTAAAATCTGGATTTTTGTATACTCCGCCATTGAGGATAAAAATAAGGGATGAAAGCTATTATAACACAGTAAGCTATTTTCAAGCAGCTTTTAATCAATCAATAAATATATTTTTTACTAAACACTAATACAAATTGAGACGAAAATAATTTAAAATTATAAAAATTGTACAGCCGACTTCAATATAAATTATTAAGAATAACTCAAAAAAGATTGGTCTAACCTTGATCAAATTCATATGGGACCACACGAAAAGTACCAGCTTTCAAATAAAAAAAGAATCATCGAAATCGGTTCACCCAGTAAAAAGTTATGAGGTAACGCACATAAAAAAACATACAGTCGAATCCAGTACAGTCTCCTTTGTGAAGTCGACAGAATAGGATCGAGTTTTACAGTAGTTGCATAATATGATGTATATCATCTGACATATCTGAAAAAACCTGTTTGTTTTTTAATCCAAATTAATAGAAATAAAAAATAATTATTCATTATTACTCACTTGCATTTATTATCAATGATATGCACTATTTTCAGACACATACTATCAACAGTAAATACATTGATTAATATAGTTTACACATATAATTAGTTTATCAAACGGCAAACTTTAAGACTACCACCGCGCGCGCACATTGGTCTAATCAAATAGCGCGTGCTTCCCCAGCTTCCTGTTACATACTTCCCGCCCTTTTTACGAAATCACTCCTGCAGATTGCAGGAAAGCGAGAAGAAAAATGTTACACATCAAAAACAAAATGAAATAAATAAAGAAGGTACAATAGGTGGTCTGGAAGCGATTTCTTCCAGATAACCTTATTACATAAATAACTGTTCACAGCGAATGGCTTTGAGGGAGGTGTACATGCATAGGTAATAGAAATAAATAAAAATAAATTCACATCAAGATAATGACAGTTGTGGAATGTAGGATAGATACAAAAGAGGACGGGAAGTATGATAGGGAAATTTTAGAGTTCCAAGTAAGCTTTGAGTAGAATTCTGAAGAAAAGAAGGGACTGAGCACGGTGAATTTGTAGAGGAAAGGAGTTTCACGTACTCTGTAATAGAATATTATTTATTGAAGAAGGTGGATTAATGTAGAGGAATATGAAGAGAAACAATGTAAGAGCGGCTTTCACTAATCGAAACGCCTGAGACGTAACTTAAAATCTGTGACCAAGGTCATTCCGAAATGTACAGGGTTATTATTCAAAGAGTAGTCAAATTTCAATTTCAGAAATAAAGATGTAACTAATCATTGCTACGGTCACCCGGGAGATAGATAAAAGTACTCAATTAATTTTGAATTTATTTTAGCTACTAGCTGTACCCCGCGACTTCGTCCGCGTTTAGTTTAGGGCGTTAATATTGTTGCAAAGACACCTAATAATTTTTCTAAAATTTAAGCAGGCTAAGTTACTTCTTATAACATGAGCTATCTACTAGTGAAAGTCCCGCCAAAGTCGGTCCAGCCGTTTTGGAAATTAACCGCAACAAACAGACTGACAGACATACAAAAATGTTAAATATTGTGTTAATGTTATAAGTACCGTATACAGTTTCATACGCAATTAGTAAAAAGCTGTTATTTTGACATTAAAAACAGACACTTCAATTTTATTTATTTGTGTAGATATAGATAACGATTGAACTAACGGCTAACCTAACCTCGCTCATAGAAGCTTTCAATACTGGCTTCTCAGTTCGCACCGGGCTACGGGTTATGCGTTGTTTGCGCGTCAAGCCAAGTAGGTATTGAATTATTTTAATTTTACATTATCTCTTAAACTATGTACTATATAAACATGGTATAAAGAACGAAGTTTATCTTCATAAAATTGTCTTGATAATGAAGTAACTTTGGTTCGTAAGGTGCCTAATAATTAAATTTTCATTTTTTTTTGTCACAAAATGCCTAATTGTGGCTTAAGTATATATAAGAAATAGACATAATTATGGTATCGCGGACTTTTTTTAGACGGAGTAAAGATCTATATTTTTCTAGAACATTGTATTTACGGATCCCGAACCATAACAGCGCTTTTTCTTCTGACTTCCTTAACAAATATAGGCTAGCTGAGATATATAGCCTAATGCTGTATAGCCTATACTATTCAACATGAATCTGGCTATAATATCCAAAAAAAGATTTTTCAAATCGGACTGGTAGTTCCAGAGATTAGCACGTTTAAACAAACAAAAACCCTCTACTGCTTTATTATATTAGTATAGATCATAGATAAATATATATGTAGCAAGCTAGTATAGATGTTGCATCGTGTTCGTGTAACTTCGTTTTTATTCTAACGGTTCGGAACACCGTACGAACAAGACATGCGTGAATACTAGTGTCGATATGCTCATCACTGATACTATCTCTGTCGGGCACGATGCCAGGTGAGACAGCGTGCTTTTTGGCCGCGCCCACCAGCGAGTTCGAGCCCGCGACTTGTGCCACCTTAAGTTCAAATATAGTATAACAGTGTGTCCTTCTGTAAAGTGCAACCCCGAAGGGGGGTGAAACTAGACCATAAATTATCGACAAAAATAGACAAAAAATAGAATAGAATTTAATATTTACAAAAAATTGAATATAAATTATAGGTATATTATACTTTACATTTTATTGACGAATTACGATTTTTATATCTTATGTAGACTCTATGTACCTACAAAAACTAACGATTTCTTCCAAAGTAGTAGGTCGATTACTTTAAAATAAAAAAAATATTATGCCACGTGCTTGGCGGTAAGGATAAAATAACAATTAGCTCGCAAAAAAGTGACATCATTACTAAAATTAAAATGACGTACCATGAAACCATGATATACATATAATATACAAAATGTTTACATAGGTATAGTGTATGTGTAAATATATAAACAAAAAATGTATGATACATAGTATATATACGTTACATATTATGATAGTAAAATAGGTATAAATATTAAAATTGCAAATAATAAAACATCTAAATATATAAAAATATCATATCATCATCATTCTTAACGTCGCAACTAATTAAATAATAATTCTACCCCTAGTTTGAAAAAACAGTTAATCATATTTTTGGTTTCACATCGACGACATTTGTTACCTTGAGGTTGTGATAAAGCTTAGTCCAGTCAAAGCTCAAATAATTTGACTTAAAATAAAATGTAAAGAAAAAAAAACTGGAAAGAATTAAACAATTTCAAAATAATTTACTAGCTTCTGTAGTCGGCGCTAAGCGTCGGCGGTTCGTGTTGCTTTATGACGCTAAACATATCGTATAAAACTTATAACTAATCTTTTTAGTTTTTAAGCCGGTTTTTACATAATTTTTTAAGTTAAATTATTAAAATGGAAGTAAAGTGAATTTCTACTTTTAATGAATTTATATGTTTACGATTTCTATACATCTTAGCTTACCTAATTGCAAAGGAGTTTTGCAAGCATACGGAATGACAGAGACGTCCACATCGGCAACAAGAGATCCTGAGCGTGACACTACAAAACACAAACCCGGTAGCGGTGGCACTCCTTTACCCGGCGTAAGAGTAAAGGTATGGATAAATATATAAATAAGTATATAAAATGTTATATAAATAAAATGTCAAAGAATGAAGTATCGTTTTTATGCACATTCATATTATTAGGTATATTGCAAAAAACGTTTAGTAACTAGATAACTTTTTTAAATGGTGGTGGCTAGATAGCTAATGTCGTTCGCTTAAATAAAAATATACCTTTTTTTTTTGAACAGGGGTTTCCAAAGTTATATGAGTCAAGCTGCAAAAAAATATTTCGCCACCCCGCCCTGCCGCATTTCTCTTTCATAGGTACTATTGGGTTGGTTGTTTCATATGATGGTTGAGGGACGGGACGATCAGATGGCCCACCTTAGTTAACCTAGTAGTAAGCGCTATCCTCTGCGTATAACAACAGCAATACGGCTATTGACGGCTCCGTGGCGCAGTGGATTAGACATGATTCGTTGCGCTGGGGGCCGCGGGTTCTAATCCTGCACGGAGCAAGTATTTGTAAGGCCTACAAATAATTGTTCCGGGTCTAGATGTTTGTCCTCGTGTAATTTAGGTTTGTAAACTGCCTCCACGATACAGGCGAAAATCCTAGTGTGGGGGTAACGTTTTAAAAATAATAATAATAAAAATAATAATACAACAACAGCAATAGGTCTTCCCCTATGTAAGTGACGGAAGACCCAAGTCATATCGCATTGTACCCGTTACCCTGAGACAAAAATTAGAACGTCTCATGTAACTATAATTTCACCGGCATATGCAATGCGAGTGTACTATTGCTTGGTTGACGATCTCGACGTGAGTAGTTTGTAAGTTTACGTATATTGATTCAAATTAATTTTATTTCAAATGACAAAATGATTTATCGTAAGGGTAATAATCTAAAAGATACCTACGTAATATGTCTGCGCTCGTCCCGGAGGTATGAAACCAATTATAAAATCTTATATTTGTCCCATGTACCTTACACGATACGGATGTCTCGCGCTTCCCTTTGCCAGTCTCTGCACACCCATGAGAGAGACACACCATTTTGTAACTTTCTGTTTTTAGATAATATACATAAAGCGAAAGCATCTCTATGTGAATATTTAATATTTCACAGTTATTAAAAGTATATTGGAATACATCTGTAGTGAGTTAATACTGCGTATTGGCTGACTTCAGATGTCCATAAAATGTTTTTCAATTTTAAACATGCAGGTTTTCTATGATGTTTTCCTGAGCCACTTAGTGAGCTTGCCGTTAACAATTTTATTGGTGCAGGCAAAGTCGCACTACATTATGTTCGATAGCGAGCGCGTCTATCATCAGCTACCCATGAACACCCCGCGGTTAATTTATAAAGATGAAAAGAGCAATTTACGGAAAATTGAAAAAAAAAACAGTACCTAAGCCTATTGGATTATTAAGTTACGTTTAAGATTATGTAATATATTGTTTTATTGTTTGTAATAGGTGGTTGACGTTGAAACACGAAAAAAACTAGGACCTTTTGAAACAGGAGAAATTTGTATCAAGGGGCCAGTAGTAATGAAGGGCTACATTGGCGATAAAGCAGCTGATCGCGATATTATGGACGAGGAAGGATTTCTTAAGACTGGCGACGTCGGGTATTATGACCACGATGGATACTTCTTTATTGTGGAGAGGATCAAGGAACTGATAAAGTATAAAGGACACCAGGTGAGGTGCAATGCAAATTACTCTGCTGCAATGGAAAAAACTTTTATCCTTTTCTTTCTGCCCGTCTATACTTTTCTATCGAAACATAATAATTCTAATTTCAGTTTTGGCCGAATTGGATGAGCATATAGAGATTATATAAAGTTGTCAATTTGAGAAAAAGTTATTAATACAAAAATAAATCTTAATATATGGTTATTTTTCAAAGAGTAGTTACATTTTAAACTTAAGTTCAAACATATAAATGATGATATACCGTTATTGCAATTTTGAAAAATACGAGTAAACAAGACTACTAATTTTATTTGAAATCATCCAAAATTGAATGCGACTTATGGGCAACAACGGTTTTGCCTACCGATCGACCCTTACGAATGTGTATGCGCAGTACAATCAGTTAAAATAATGCATCTACCACACATTTTGAATTTAAAAGAGAAAAAGGATAGAATGCTTGAGATTTTTTTTAATTAATGTTTCTTCACCATTTGCCGATATTACTTATTCTGAACCTTCCGGCCGGTTATTGCAAAATAACCCTTTTTTCCTTATCTCTTATCCTTTTGTTCTGCCTGTCTATACTTTTCTATCACGACATAATAATTCTAATTTCAGTTTTCGCCAAATTGGATGAGCATAGAGGTATGATATTTATATAAAGGTGTGAATTTGAGAATATGTTAATATTACAATATATAGCGAGATTATAATAGTCCTCCAGCACTTCAAAAACGACAAGGGCACATGTTTACTCCTTACTCTGTGACAAGGGGATCGCGACAGGTCGTAATTACAGAAGAGGGTTTGACAGTGGATGAAAGAAAATCAGAGACACTACACTCTACCATGCGCGGAGGTTACGGCAAATTATAATGGAAGAGACTCAAAAAAGAAGTATAACTTCGCCTCCAGGTCCTTCAAAAGAGTTATTGCCAAGGCAAAGTCAGAGCACATAGGCAGAATTGGCGAGAAACTAGTTCGCCTTCCTTCGGGAACCCGTGCATTCTGGTCTCTCGCCAAGGCTGTCCAAGGGAATTTCTGTAAGCCATCATTACCATCTCTGCACAGGGAGGACGACTCACTGGCCCACGACGCAAAAGAGAAAGCCGACCTTTTAGGCTCCCTTTTTGCGTCCAACTCGACTGTTGATGACGGGGGTACACACCGCCGACCATCCCGTGGTGTCAGTGCTCCATGCCGGATGTGCGGTTCTCACAGCGCTCGGTTCGCAGAGCACTCCTCTCCCTTGACATCCACAAGTCGAGTGGGCCTGACGGAATCCCCTCAATTGTGCTGAGGACGTGTGCTCCGGAGTTGGCACCGGTTTTAACGCGTCTTTTCCGGTACTCCTACTCCCTAGGCGTAGTCTCGAAATCATGGAAGATAGCTTTTGTCCACCCGATCCCTAAAAAAGGCGACCGCTCAGACCCGTCCAACTACAGGCCTATCGCCATCACCCCCTTGGTCTCCAAAATAATGGAATCCATTATTAACTGCCAGCTCATGTGGTACCTTGAGGATCACCAGCTGATTAGTGACCGCCAATACGGTTTTCGTCGGGGTCGATCAGCTGGTGATCTTCTCGTCTACCTGACCCATAGATGGGCGGAGGCAGTAGAGTCCAAGGGGGAGGCCTTGGCCGTTAGTTTGGACATTGCGAAGGCCTTCGATCGGGTTTGGCACAAAGCGCTTCTTTCGAAGCTCCCTTCCTATGGGCTTCCCGAGAAATTTTGCAATTGGATCACCAGCTTTCTTGCAGATCGGAGCATCAAGGTCGTTGTAGACGGTGCATGCTCCGACTACAAGCCTATTAACGCTGGTGTTCCACAAGGCTGCGTGCTATCACCAACGCTGTTTCTTCTGCATATCAATGATATGTTGCAAGCCGGCAGCATTCGTTGCTATGCGGATGACAGCACTGGTGATGCTCTATACACCGGCCGTGCCAATATTTCTCGGGAAAACGTCACCGAGTACCGGAACAAACTTGTGTCTGAAGTCTCGGATTGGGGGCGACTAAATCTAGTCCAGTTTAATCCTCAGAAGACACAAGTTTATATGTATAATACATGCATGTTATCTTTATATATAAAAAATACGTGTCACGTTGTTTGTCCGCGATGAACTCCTAAGCTATTGGACTGATTTCAATAAAATTTTGCACAGCCTGTGTAGTTTGGTCCAACTTGAGAGATAGGATATTTTTTATCCTGATACGTGACACTCAATATTTTTTTACTACGAATTTAAGGATTTTTTATATGAAGGGTCGTCGAAAAGTGCAGAACAACGTCTGCCTGGTCAGCTAGTTTTTATATATAAAAATTACGTGTCACATTGTTTGTCAGCGATGAACTCCTAAACTACTGACCTGATTTCAATAAAATTTTGCACACTGTGTGCAGTTTGGTCCAACTTGAGAGATAGGATAGTTTTTATCCCGATAAGTGACCCTCAATTTTTTATTGCTAATTTCAGGAGTTTTTTTTTGGGAAAGCAAATGGTCATTCGGAAAGGGCAGGACAACGTCTGCCTGGTCAGCCGGTATATTATATAATTCTTCTGTCCGTGTGTATGTGACTGAACTCCTTCTAAACGGCTGGACCGATTTTAATAAAATTTTGTGAGTTGATTTGCCGTGTAGTGGCGGTCAAGAATATCTACTACCCCATATCCTCCCGTGGGTGTCGTAAAAGGCGACAAAGGGAAACAGGCAGGAGATGGGCAGCAGCATCTTCCTGTTAATAGCCAAAATTACAATAAAAAAACTGCGGTTGCCAACCCGCTCGCCAAGCGTGGCAACTATGGCAAATACCCCCCAATGATTAAAGCAACAAACAGACGGCCCCCAGTCCTCGGCGGCCCCGCTATTCCTGGCTACGGTGGCGACCATGGTAACGGCGGGACAGGGGGTGCTAAGAATCTCCGGTGGAGGTTCGGTTGCCACCTTAGACGACTCGACCTGGCAACGTACAACGCACGCACCCTGAGGACTGACGAGAAGATCGTGGAGCTGGAAGAAGAGATAGACAAGTTGCGCTGGTATATTATAGGATTATCCGAAGTCCGAAGAGAGGGGGAGGACACGGTAATCCTCGAATCCGGCAACTTGCTCTATCACCGGGAGGGCGACCATCTGTCCCAAGGAGGTGTCGGATTTATCGTCCACAAGTCTCTCGTTAACAACGTTGTAAAGATCGGAAGTGTGTCGACGAGGGTTGCGTACCTTATACTCAGAATCACCAAACGGTATTCGCTGAAGGTCATACAGGTTTACGCACCAACCTCGGCACACCCCGATGCGGAGGTGGAGGAAATGTATGAGGATATCTCTAGAGCCATGCATTCCTCCAAAACCCAATATACGGTGTTAATGGGAAACTTCAATGCAAAACTAGGCACAAGAGAGGACGGTGAGCCGAAAGTAGGGAAATTTGGAATAGGCCAACGGAACCCAAGGGGCCAGCAGCTGGTCGACTTCATGGGGAAAGAGGGACTCTTTATGATGAACTCTTTCTTCCAGAAGCGGCCCCACAGGAAGTGAACCTGGTCGAGCCCCGACGGTTCGACAAAAAATGAGATCGACTTCATTATGACGACCAGACGACAACTGTTCAGTGATGTCTCCGTGATCGCGCGGGTGAAAACTAGTAGCGACCACCGAATAGTTAGAGGCACACTGAACCTAAACGTTAAGTTGGAGAGGTCTCGTTTTCAGTGCCTAGAAGACTGCAATGAAGTGGACGATTTGAATGACAAGCTCGTGGAAACTGTCCATGCGGTCGGAGCTAAGTTCTGCAAGACCCGCCGCAGAAGAACACAAAAACTCTCCGATCACACTCTTAATCTCATGGCTGTTAGACGGGAGATGAAGCTACATTCTTCAACAGATTTGACAGCATACAGGCAACTGAACAGGCAGATCTCCAAATGCATGCGGCGGGACTTACGCAACTTCAATACAGCTTGTATTGAAGAAGCGATCGAGCGGAACCAAGGCTCCAAAGTCTTTGCCAGAGATCTGTGTGCCAGAAACAGCCAACTGTCAAAGCTGAAGACCGAATGTGGCAGCATCGTTTCCGGGACACCTGAGATTTTGAGTGAGATTGAGAGGTTCTATGGGCAGCTGTACACGTCATCGTTGGAGCCACACGCAAGTGTGAGTAACGATCCAAGAGCGAGTCTTATCCGACACTATTCCGAAGATGTCCCGGACGTCAGTCTGAGCGAGATTAGAATTCTCTCCAGCACCTTAAAAACGGCAAGGCCCCAGGCGAGGATGGAATTACAGCGGAGCTTCTGAAAGCGGGTGGAAGACCGGTACTTGAAGTCCTTCAGAAGCTCTTTAATTCCGTCCTCCATGGTGGCATTACACCGGAGGCGTGGAGCAGAAGTGCGGTGGTCTTGTTCTTCAAGAAAGGTGACAACGCTCTCTTGAAGAACTACAGACCGATTTCCCTTCTGAGCCGCGTCTACGTGCTGTTTTCGAGAGTCATTACGAATCGTCTCGCGCGCAGACTTGACGATTTCCAGCCTCCCGAACAAGCCGGTTTCCGAAAGGGCTTTAGCACCATAGACCACATACATACCCTTCGGCAAGTTGTACAGAAGTCCGAAGAGTACAATTTGCCACTATGTCTGGCGTATGTGGACTATGAGAAAGCCTTTGATTCCGTCGAAATTTGGGCGGTGCTGCAGTCCCTTCAGCGGTGCCAAGTTGACTGTCGGTATATCGAAGTGTTGAAGTGCTTGTACAGTAGGGCTACGATGGCTATCCGAGTACAGAACCAGAGTACGAAACCTATCCAATTGCAGAGAGGTGTAAGACAGGGTGACGTCATATCCCCGAAACTCTTCACCGCTGCATTGGAAGACGTTTTCAAGCTTCTGGACTGGAAAGGATACGGTATCAACATCAATGGCGAGTACATCACTCACCTTCGATTTGCCGACGATATAGTCCTTATGGCAGAATCGCTGGAGGACCTAAGCACTATGCTCAATGACCTCAATAGTGTTTCCCAACGGATAGGTCTTAAGATGAACATGGACAAAACAAAGATTATGTTTAATGTCCATGTCACACCTATGCCGGTAGTTGTTGGGAGCACTAAGCTCGAAGTTGTTGATGAGTATGCTTACCTGGGACAAATAGTCCGACTAGGTAAGTCCAACTTCGACCGAGAGGTCAATCGACGGATTCAACTCGGCTGGGCAGCGTTCGAGAGGCTACGACACATCTTCTCGTCAGACATACCTCAAAACCTTAAAACGAAATTGTACAACCAGTGCGTGTTGCCAGTGATGACTTACGGAACTGAGACGTGGTCCTTCACTGCTGGCCGTATGAGGAAGCTCAAGGTCGCTCAGCGAGCTATGGAGAGGGCTATGCTCGGAGTTTCTCTGCGTGATAAACTTAGGAATCAGGATATCCGCAGTAGAACCAGAGTAACCGACATAGCCCAACGGATTAGTAAACTGAAGTGGCAGTGGGCCGGCCATACAGCTCGAAGAACCGACAACCGATGGGGAAGAATGGTTCTCGAGTGGCAGCCTCGTACCGGTAGGCGAAGTGTAGGGCGACCCCCCACGAGATGGAGTGACGACCTGGTAAGACATGCAGGAAGTCGATGGATGCAGGTGGCTCAGGACCGTGCTTTGTGGCATTCCTTGGGGGAGGCCTATGTTCAGCAGTGGACTTATGAAAGGCTATAATGATGATGATGATGTGAGTTGATTAGAGAATGGTTAAGATTCACAATTGGACGCGGTAAGTGGCGTTGTTGTCGAGGTCCACAAATCAACCGAAACCGGGGCGGATCGCTAGCTATCTCTCAATAGAAAAGTAAAAAAAAGTGGCGATAGAAGCTTCCATAATAGTTTCTTTTGTATAAAAGTAAAGTTGACAAGCGAGCACACAGATGTTGAGTGGTTGCTGTGGTCCATAGACACCTACATCTAGCCTCGATTAAGAATGAAAATGCAGATGCTTTGTCACCCCTGAGGATTAAGATGGAATCAGTAACAAGTGGTAAATTTAAACTTTTATACAACCGAATTCAATATGAATATTATTTATTGTTGATTTTTTTTAAAACCGCCCAACCGATTTCGATTAAATTTAAATATGATCACCAGGAAAGTACACATACCCTTTATGAAACAAAAAACATTTTTCAAAATTAGTTCAGGCGTGTTCGAGTAATCGGTGAACTGTATGTTCACAAAAACGATTCCGACGAATTGGAAACGTGCTCCTTTGTATGTAACTGTCTACATATATGTTATGTAATATATAACTATTATTTTATGCTGGTATTCTGTATGATTGTGACTCTTGCCCGGTTGAGCTGACTCTCACTGCATCCATAATCCACTGCATCGTGACTTTACCACGTAAAGAACCACCTTATGACAAAAGTTCGAATACATCACACGATTAATACAAATATGTATTGTATGCTAAATGTAGCGTCATTACTAAATTGAAATTTCAAATTAAACATTGTCCAATTGTGTAAAATTTCCACGAATTATCGCAATTAAATGTTAAAATGAATTATTGCAATGGGCGTTGATCATAGGTTGAACGGCAACAAAAGTCCATTTATGCGAGTACCTTTATGTTTTCACCAAACTTCAAACAGCTGTAAAGGCCAGAACACATTAAAAGCGTATGTGCGTTCTGGCAGTAGTAATTTATAAAATTAAATGGAAGATTTTACACCTCATGCTTTATATGTGCACTACGTATGCAGTACGTATGAATGGGGTCTTTTTATGGTAAAAAAATAAACTATTATAGAAAATGATATATAATACTGGCATGGGAAAACGGTTAAAAAAATAATATATAACGCGCAGAGAATTAATCTGTAAAGAAATTCGTACCTATAATTAAAAATCCAGGAACATCACTGTTACTTTGATTACCTACATGAATTTCTCTTCATAATATAAACTGATTTCTGTATTCACTTTTGCTTATGTTCCACACTTGTAACATATAGTACCAAGTGGAAGGGTAAAGCTTAATATTTCCTGAAGTACATTAATATGTACCGATTATCCACACACTTGCAAAAGTTATGTTGTAATTCTATCCTCACCAGGTACTTTGCCATTTTTAAGATGCTGGGAAGCCATTTTAATCACATTTAGATTGACGTCCAGGACTTGATAAGGATAATATCTATCTTGCCGCTAACAATGTCGCTGACGCTATTGGCCTTCAACTTATACAGTGAACAACCACTTCCTATTTATTTATAGTTTTTAAACAACTAATGGATTGCTGTCATCTTAAATAAGCGGAGCGGTTTAATTCTAATAATGTTTTGCCTCTCACGACACATACATGTTATTCTGCTTCACCAACCACTCGAACATTTTAGATGAATTGCATCATAGTACCAGAAACAAACGAGCACACAGTCCACCTGATGGTATGTGGTTGCTTTGACCCATAGACATCTACATCTATCCTCTATTACAAATCAAAATACAGATGCGTTGTCACCCGTGAGGACTAAGATGGAATGCCTCATTTCCAGTAAAAAGGGTCTCCGGTTCTCTGCACTCACCATACGAAACACAGCAGCGTTAACCTGCTATTTTATGCTGGTATTCTGTGAGAGCGTGGTCCTTCCCCGGTCGAGCCGACCTATTCGTGCTACATCTATATTATTAATATAGCTGCAGAGTGGCTCTACCACGTCTTGTTTGAACGACGTATTGTTAATTAGAGAAAACAACGAAAACAACAACAACTCCTTCATACCAACCCGCGGCAATCTAATTAACTCAGCAACTGTTGAGACTGTTTTAGCATGAAGCAAATACAATGGGAAATTCAGCTTTAGACAGTAGACACTTAATTGCCAGAAAATATTATTATACCAAATTTTAAAGTAAACTACAAATTTAGGACGTATTGCTGGATGCGTGTTAGTTGCAGAGAACATAGACAAGAGTATTATAGATGTCTTGAATTTTCATCGTTCTAGCTCAATATTTTTCTGCAATGAAAATTCTTTGATCTTCCGAGGTGCGAGGCCCTGTGAGCCACGAGGCCGTAGGCGGCCGCCCAGGTCACCCTTGCCTTGCGCCGCCTATGATCCGTTTATTCTTTTTTTAGTTTACGGTCACAGATTCGGCATTTGACTATTTACGGTCTAATGAGAAGTTAGAGAAGGAATAGTACAAAAAGATCGTCGTATTGCAATACAACATTATGCTGTTGTTATCCTCTACATTAAAATAACACAATCTTCGCGTGCTTGAAATAACCAAAGAACCTAAAACCATGGGTGCTTGAGAGTATTTTTTATTTCCGTGATATACATTTTACTTTGCATTAAAAGTTTAAGTTTGACTTTTTTACCTTTTTGGGTGAACTAAAGGATTATTACAAGCTTGCTGTAGAACTGGAATGTTGTGTAAATAGTTACATTAAAAACTTCATCCACTACTTTTCCCAGACTTAGCGAGTATAGTTATACGGACCACCCATAATTTAAACTATCTAATGTTAAAAGAATCTTTAAAATCGGTTTACAATTGACGAAGATATTGCGTACATATAGCATATATTTAAAAAAAAAGTCGAATTGAGAATATACGCCTTTTCAACCGACTTCAAACAAAGGAAAAGGATCTCAATTCGACTGTATTTTTTTAATGTTTGTTACCTCAGAACTTTTTTCTAGGTGAACCGATTTTGACGATTCTTGTTTGAAATTGATTGATTTTTATTTGAAAGCTGGTGCTTCTCATGTGATCTCATATAGATTTGATCAAGATCTGACCAGTAGTTTTTGAGTTATCCTTAATAATGCGTAGTTAATTGATTTCGACTACAATGATGATGTTTTCATTTCATTTATATTGAAGTCGACTGTACAAAATTTTTAATTTTATCGCTTGTTTGATCCGGCTAATAAAGTAATAAAAGTAATATATATGTGGTTGTAGGTGCCACCTGCAACGGTAGAAAGCGTAATTCTACAACACGGCAGTGTGGCAGAGTGCGGCGTGGTGGGCGCGCCCGACGAGTGGGCGGGCGAGCTCCCCACCGCCTTCGTTGTCATCAAGCCTGGTCACCAACTCACCGAGCGTGAACTCCTCGACTTTACTGCTAGCCGGGTGAGAATTCTCATACAATATTAAAACTTTTATGTAGTAGAATTTTTGGAGAAGAACTTGTTATATTTTCATTCATTTTTCATTACAGCCTATAGAAATTCCACTGCAGAACATAGGTCTCCCCCACTGATTGCTCCATAGGAGGGTACTTGCCATAGTTGGTATGGTTGGCACGTGGGTTGGCAACCGCAGTTTTTAATTATTTTGAATAGTGTTATTAGGAAGAATCGCTGTCTCCTGTTTCATTTATTTTTGCCGCTTCTTACTACACCCACGTAATAATCGGATAGTGGGTTTTCTTACGCCGCGCCTACACGAAAAACACATTCCCCTAATTTGTTACAATTTCCCTTTAATAGTACAATTAATTCAATTAACACACAAAATTTTAACACTTAAATTGTTAATAATGGTATAGTAAAATAACGGGAGGAGATGTTTTTTTTTATAGGACATACGAGAACACAGTCCACCTGATGGTAAGTGAATGCTGTGGCCCATAAAAATCTACAACCATCTTCGATTACGAATCAAAATGCAGATACGTTGTCACCCGTGAGTACTAAGATGGAGTGCTTCGTTTCCAGTAAAAAGGGTCTACGGTTCTCTACACTCACCACACGAAACACAGCAGCATTACTGTGAGAGCGTGGTCCTTCCCCGGTCGAGCCGACCCATTCGTGCTACAACCATATTATCACTAATATAGCTGTAAGGCTCTAACACGCTTAAATGTGCGGTGCGGTGTTGGTGAATCTGGCAAAACGAGGAGAGGAGAAGCAGTGAACTAGAGTTTACTACGTGGTAGAGCCATGCTGCAGCTATATTATGGTTGTAGCACGAATGGGTCGGCTCGACCGGGGAAGGACCACGCTCTCACAGAAAACCAGCGTAAAATAGCAGCTTAACGTTGCTGTGTTTCGTATGGTGAGTGTAGAGAACCGGAGGCCCTTTTTACTGGCAAAGAGGCATTCCATCTTAGTCCTCACGGGTGACAACGCATCTGCATCTTGAGTCTTTATTGAGGATAGATGTAGATATCTATGGGTCACAGTAACCACTTACCATCAGGTGGACTGTGTGCTCGTTTGTCACCCGATCCTATAAAAAAAAACCATTCTCCCTTCGACGGATTCACTGTACGCATGGAATAAACAACTTTATTATTCGGTCGTTAATAATGCAACGTAAAACTTCTATTTCAAATACCAAGCGACTGTAATAATTTGACAGAGTAATAGGTGCTCATGTGTAAGCAAGTGTAAGTCTCGTTTACCTTCTTTTTAAGTAACTATTAGGTAATATTTCAATAAGTAACGATAACAATATTTTACTTGTTTTATTGTTTGTAACATACAGGAAATTTGACAATTATACATTTTCAGTTGTCGCCAGCGAACCGTCTCCATGGTGGTGTGATATTCGTGAAGGAGATCCCAAAGAATCCATCTGGAAAAATTATGCGACGTATTCTTAAACAAAGGCTCCAAGATAAAAGAAAAAGTAAACTGTAATATAAATATACAAGTGAAATAATCATTAGGTATAGATAATCATTATTTTATATTATTGTTCTAAATTATTTTTTTTATATATAAGTACAGATTAAATTGAATCTGATAAGTAATTGATAATTATGGATCAATAAATATAAAGTGCAAATAGAAAAATAAATTTATTTTTAATAATACCTAACTCTTTCCTCACTACTAACTAACTCAAATACAATATCTTTAAAATTATATAATAAAGTACGTGAGGGTAATATGGTCATCCGGTTAATATGGTCACTTTCTTATAACTCAAAAACTACAGCGTTGTTTGCATAGATGGCTATGTGATACGATAGCTATTCATCAGTCATTGAAATAATGAAGGGTCAAAAGGGCGCCGCTCTGTCGACGCCATTTTGACAGTTGATATTATAGAAAATATTTTAGTCGATTTTAGTATTGGGCAGCGTAGTTAATTTTTTTTTAAGTTGAGTTTTCGTAGTGTTCTTAATAATTGCCAAAGCTTGTGTGTTATTTTTTTCTTAATATATTAGTTATACTATACGATTTTGTGTTTTGTCTTTGACTTCCTCCTAGTTTTGGTTGTATAGGGCGGCAAAGCTTAAGGTGACCATATTACCCTCACGTACCTTATTAAGTGCTCTTTTCGTCTGCTTAAGAGCGTAGACGGGCTGCATTTTTTCCATACAGATGTATTCCCCTATTCTTTTCCTGGATAATGCCTCTAGCGTAATCGTTTTTGTTTATAAAAATCTAGGTATATTGAAGGCATGTCCCTGTCATTTATGTATTTCCAAAAAAAATATTACAAAAATAAATATAACTTTCCAAATACCTAAAAAATGCCCCGTTTTTACCTCCGTAATTATACGACTACCAAAGAAATTTGAAAAGTTTTTAAGATAAAAACAAGTGATAGTAGCATAGATCTATTCTTCCTTTAAATTTTGATACCAAAAATTATTTAATCGACTTAGTTTTCGAGCAGAAAACAGGGTAATAGGAAACGTCGGTCGGTCATGGTTTTTGTATCATGGTTTCTTCAAGATTCAAGTACCTATTTCTCAATTCCCGCACAGACTCACTGCCACGGAGCAGTCAAAGCAAGTAATAGTGTTCTGTGAGTCAAAACGTTGACCGAGAATATACTATTCTTGTTACATAGTGTTATTGTTATTTATTCTGTGGTATTGTTGAATAAGCTAAATAAGTGTATTATTGTTAGCTGAGTCTCAGCATCATAAGATGTGCAGTATGCAGTTTCTACACAGTCTGATGTCTGTATGTAGATAAAAATTTAGAAGTACAATATACAATTTATATACAAATTAATTTGATCGAAGCTTATTCAATAATACCTACTATGCTCGGTCAGCGCTTCAAGAACATGATTGATTGCAATACAACGCAAAAATAAGTTTGTACCCGATCACTTTATAAGTACCGGTAATGTATTGCGGTCACCGATCCAATTATCCCTAATGGATAAATGTCGTACTCCCAGAGCTCCAGAGTGGGTGGAACTCGAACAAATTTGGAAAATTGATAAGCGATACGAGTCACCTATGTACTTACCTATAACATTTTATTAATGTTTGATGTACCATGGCTTCGCCCAAATTAGATATTTTTTTTAAATGACTGTCTAATAATAATTTACGATAAAACTTATCTATAATAAATATTCACAATGAACTAGCCAATTTAAACCATCCAATTCATTTGCAATTGCTTTGCAGAAAAACGATTTTTGAGAGATCCCATTTATTACCATTTATACAAAACTTTTATACATGATTACATTGATCTCGGACATGCAAATATATATTTTTTTATAGGAGAGGGGGCAATCGAGCATGCGGCTCACCTGATGGTAAGTGACTACCGCCGCCCATGAACAACCGCAACACCAGGGGAATTGCAGATGCGTTGCCGGCCTTTTAAAAAGGAGTAGGCTCTTTTCTTGAAGGTCCCTAAGTCGTATCGGTCCGGAAAAATCGCTGGTGGTAAACTATTCCACAAGGAAGTTGTGCGAGAAAGAAAACATCTTCTAAATCGCACAGTGGTGGACCGCCAATCATCCAGATGGTGTGGATGGTATCGGGAGTTCTGCCGCGATGTGCATTCGTGAAATTTGGCGGCTGGGATTAATCCGAACAATTCCTCAGAGCACTCCCCATGGTAAATGCGAAAGAAAATGCAAAGAGATGCAACATTTCTTCGCAGTGCCAATGAGTCGAGCCGATCGGAAAGGACTCGGTAGTCGACGATTCGAGCCGCTCTGCGCTGGATGCGGTCAAGTGGAAGGAGCTGGCACTGGGGAGCCCCAGCCCAGAGATGGGAACAGTATTCCATGTGAGGCCGAACCTGCGCCTTGTAAAGTTGCAGGCGTTGAGCTGGCATGAAATACTGTCCTGCTCTGCTGAGCACACCAAGCTTTTTAGAGGCCAATTTGGCCTTCTCTTCCAAGTGACCACGAAACTGCACGTCACTCGATATGTCGACGCCGAGGATTCCGATACTGGCAGAGGCAACAAGGGGAGTACCTTGAAACTGAGGAGATACGACAAAGGGGCACACCGCCTGCAACTTTATAAGGCACAGGTTCGGCCTCACATGGAATACTGTTCCCATCTCTGTGCAGGGGCTCCCCAGTGCCAGCTCCTTCCACTTCACAGCATCCAGCACAGAGCGGTTCGAATCGTCGACGACCGAGTTCTTTCCGATCGGCTTGAGTCACTGACACTGCGTAGAGATGTAGCATCTCTTTGCGTATTTTATCGCATGTACCCCGGGGAGTACTTTTAGAATTTGTTCGGACTAATTCCAGCCGCTCAATTTCACCATCGCACATCGCGACAAAACTCTCGATACCGTCCATACCATCTGGATGATTGGCGGTCCACCACGAATCGAAACAAGCTTACTCCTTTTTAAAAAGTCGGCAACGCACCTGCGATTCCCCTGGTGTTGCAGTTGTTCATGGGCGGCGGTCGACACTACTTACCATCAGGTGATTCGCATGCTCGTTTGCCGCCTCTCCATATAGAAAAAGTATCTACTCTCAATGGAGTTAGTCCTCTTAGATTCTTTTCATCCGCGTTTTTACACTAGTAAATATCTCTCATCGTTGACTCGGGCTATGTCGCGAAAACCTGTTTTAAACTACGTTTATTTTTGAAGGCAAATGTGATGAAATTAATAATATCATTAAAAATAGACTGGGTTTCCTTATTTTCCAATATACCATCTGAATCGGCTGTAAACACATTTTATACTTCAACCATTCAAACCCTCTGGTTCTGCTATATGGTTTTCACACCCACTAATACAAATTTACAAAAACAAAATAAAGGAAAAAGTACAATTCTTATTCTGACTACAAATCTTTTTCCATTTATCGTTCCAGATTCAAAGCTGAACGTATTCTTTGCTTGCACAAATACGTAAACACCATAGAAGATGGCCCACGAAAACATGTTACGAAATTTTAGCAATACATTCATAGTTGTAAAAACAGAAATAGTATTCCAGATACTATCAAATATAAACAGGAAGCAACCAACCTACCAGACGAAGCATGTATTCTGTTTTCAAGTTTCTATAAATCCATATTTAAACCATTTAACTTATTTCAGATAATATATTGTCTTGTCGGCAATGGGCATAAAATAAAAAATAACTTCAGCCAAAGAACATAACTGGCATTATACTCAGGCAAATCAATTGGTATGGAAAAAGAAATAATTTTACCAGGTTTACAAAATCAATCAAAAAAAAATGTAAAATAATAAAATCACAAAATGTGGATCTGTATGTTTATAGATACATATATTGATTTATGGCCGCTTAGTAACTGACGGTAACTCAGTACCTACATAACATCTTACAGCAGTCTTGCTCAAAATGGGCGATAAAGCACCCTTGTGGGCGTTGGAGACCTAGAGGAGGCGTTAAGGGGGCCAGAAAAAAATGGGGGGCGTTGGTGTGTGTTAGGGGGGCGGTGGTTGATTTGTAATTTCATTTAGATATTTTATAATTTAAAATTTACTAATATTAAAACTTACCTAATAATTTGTTTGTTTTGGGTATAATTTTTCGTATTAGTTATACATATATTTGTTGTGTTTTTTACTGCGCGATGAAGCTTTTTGCGTGTATTTTCTTTGAAGTAAATGCAAATAAAAAAATGAAGCACCATTAGCATGTAAGGTTCGAATCCATAATTAAAATTTCGACAAATATTATAATGAACACTATAAAAGGCTAATTCAATATTATCACCCAACCACAATATCTTATTAGGTATAGTATTGCCTCGTTGGTCTAGTGGTTGTAGTAGTGCGACTGCAGATCATGATGTCCCGGGTTCGAATCCTGGGTCGGGCCCTAAAGTCAGTTATGAGTTTTTCATTTATGTTCTAAGTTATAATTAGTATTACTAAGTTATAGTTTTTTGCTAAAATATAGTATATTATTTATTGCTTGTTTTTTCTTCTTTTTCAAAAAATAATTGAGTACATAAGGTGTTCTATACTTATAATTCGGTAAAAAGTATCTAAGTAGGTACTAATATACCTACTTTTTACTATTAACTAAAAATTTTTAAAACTAAATTTAACTAAAAAGACTAAACTGACCATTTATTTTTTAACTCAAAACAGGACATGGGTTTATTTATACTCTAAAAACTATAACTTTATACAATTAGTGTTCACTGTAAAATTATATTCGGTATAGACGGTAATTATTAAATGCAACATATTTTTTTTAATTATTAATTACATTTGTCAGTGGATTAAATTTTCTTTAATAAAGTTGGTGATGATTTTAAATAAAAATAAAATTCTGCTCAAGTTTTTTTATTGTATCTTTGTTAACAACATCGCCTTTAGAACTCTGGAACCGTAAGTGTTTCTTTCAGACGTCCACAATCTATTCAAAATAAAAAAAAATACTCTTTCTACCGGAGCATTCGTACCAGGTAGACATAAAATATATTCGATTAAAAAAAAATATGTTGAAGATTGTTGACTGTGAATACTTCTATCCAACGAGTTACGGGACAATTTTGTGTCCCGGAGCTTTGTTTGGGGACAATGGGACAGGTGACCGAGAAAAGGGACAGTCCCGCTCAAAACGGGACGTATGGTCACTTTAGCTATAACC